TGGGGAGTCGGAAGCCTGGGAGTGGGTGCCCTTGCTGGACCATGGCAGGGGAATACAGGTGCAGTTGCCCTGAATGGGGACAGCACCATTCCTGCAAATACCTCCATGTAGAAGTATCCCTGTGCCCATGCGATGCCCCACTGACTTCAACAAGGCTGCATGTGAGTGAACTCCTAAATGTGCACACAGTCAATTGCAGGATCGGGACCTAAACAGGTAAGACAGACTAATGGTGGCAGAAATTTTCTATTATAAATGCATCCAAAAAGATATGACAGAAACACAATATAAACTGAATAAATAAATACACAGATTATTAAACTACTGTCTGACTTTCCAGGCAAACAATGCAAAATTATAACAAGCTAGATGACATTGCTGCAGCTAGCCAAGGTGAAAAAAAAAAAAACAATCTAAGTCCAAGTAAAAGTGTAAAGTGTAATAAAATTAATCTATCACTGTATATATAGTATACACTGTATGTATAGGTCTGTGCACACATAGATACAGTGCCATCTACAAAAATACAGCAGGAATTCACAAGAAAAGCTATGAACTAGTCTTGTGGAACTTGCAAGTCTCCAACTAAAAATGAATGCAGGGTACATGAGTGCAAGCAAAATTCCACCAATTTAGAATGTTTTCCATAAGTGTCAGCTACAATTATTTCTCTGCTCTCATAAAACAGAGAGTCTAGGGCTCCTTTGGAAGTTTCCTGCTGCAAAAAAGTAAATCTGGCTCCTTAGGAAACTTGAGAGTTCCAAATGACAACCTCTGTGTAGCAATATATTATAAATTCCATTCATGACAACCTCTTTGCCAAAGATAAAAGCTCAAGTGATTTGCACTGTACATACCACCATTAGAACCCTGAATTAAAAACAGAGTTGTATAATATAGCATGTAGACTATGGACATAGTTCATTATTTATAATGCTCCAGTCTCAACAAAAAATCCTGCACAGAAATCTAAAAGTTAAGTTATTAATATTAATTAAAACCCTTCAGATAGAAGAGCGAATCTTTGCAAACCTAAAGATTGTGTGGGTTTACATGAGAGGAGAATTTGGTCTATATGGCTCAAATTTATCTGTGTTGTATTCCCACCACCACCACCCACTTCTCTATCACACACACACGGATTTATACCAAACATAGAGGGTCACAAACTTCATTGCTTTTGTAGGCCAAGTGCATTGCACACACCATAGGCCCCTTGCATTCCTCCATTCCACCCCACAAGCTCTTTGTGTGCCACCCTCCCATCCCCCTCTACTTCAGCAACGTTCTGCAACCTATCCCCCTCCCCTCATGCCAGGGCCTGTGTGCCCCCATATTTCCCTCCCACCATACCCAGGGTTCTGTGTGCCCCTCATACTCTCCTCCCCTCATGCCAAGGGCTCTGTGTGCCCCCATACCCCCACCTCCCATAATCAGGGATCTGCATGCCCCCATACCAGATTTCTGTCCGCCCCCGCCTCCCCCCCATGTCAGGGACTCTGTGTCTCTCCTTTTTCTCCCCCCTCCAAAGTACCTTTCTTCCCCCAGGATTGGAAGGGACACGCAGATGGCTGTCCTCCAAGGCAATCAAAAACAGAGCATCAAAACTGGGATTATCCCACAGTAATGGCAATGGCAATTCTATTAATATCAGATAGTTCAGAGGTAAAATTTAAGTGCCCTCTTTGACAATCATAGTCTGTTGAGATGAAATATGCTTTTCTTTATACATGATAAGAATAATGTGTTTGCTTTGATGTTGGCACTCTAAGATTTATGATGTCCTTAACTATTCATTTCTATGCTTTTAAGTGCTTGAGTTTTGTAAATGATGTGATGGGAAAATACAGCATTGTCACTAAGCAAATTCAATTTTTGAATGTTTATTTTTTGGGGGTGGGTGTTAATTACGGTTTTTTGTTTTGTTTTGTTTTGTTTTATATATATGTAACGATAAACACAACAGAGCATGACCCATCTATTTACTCAAGTATTTTCTTGAGTTTTGGATATGTAGTGTAAGTAGTTTTAAGTGATGGGCAGATATTGGGCGTAGCATGGCTAGCTAGCATTACTGCCTATAACAGTATGCTCTATTGCTCAAATTATATTTCAATTTTGCAAATACACCCAGAGGCTAAGATATAGTTATAAGTCAATGTATAAATAAATAATCCCATTTTAGATGTGAAAGAAGAGAAAGTCTCTTAGTCTAGTGGTATTTATTAATTTTAATGATAAAACATAACTTTCAAAAGAACGTAGGTGCCGTGATGTTGGCATAGAAGAGGAGACTTAGGATTTTTTTCTTCTAAATGTAATCCTTACACATCCATACAATATGCAAATTAGTTGTTCCTACTGCACCTGCGATATATCAGCTTGTGTGAATGTGTACCTCTGCCCTCTACTGTATATAAGGGGATTTACTCACCTGTTTGGAATCTATGTCTGTTAGTCTTAATGCTACTAACAAAGATTCTCCTTTAGCTCAAATAGTAAAGGACTGTGTGTTGGGAGAAGAATTTTGTGAGCTGCATACCCCATTCTACATATATGCAGTGTAGCTCAGGACCTGTTATCTCTCTGTTTACACAGATGGATTATACATTGCTATGGTTTTTCCAGGGATGTCCTTCCACTGACTGATGGGGGGCACCATTACTGAAAATGACCATTCCAGGGACAGAAGGGAAGAGTGGTCAGTGGCAGCTGTGAATTACTTTTAAATTTTCAGTGTAAGCTTGCTCTAACCTGTTACTTATACAGGGGGCATGAAGAACAGGTCCTCCCTCCATTTGGAAAAATATGGTGAGAATTATTTCCCAGTCACAGGTCAGCAGTTGAAATTGTGCAAAATATTTTATTTCATTTAATGTATTTAAAAAAATTATTGGTGAAATGTCTAAAAAATAGCAGGGCTTTGGATCTGTGACACCAACATCCATCACTACTTTGGAAGGTTTGAGCATTGTTGGCCTCACAGGTTGAGGCCCAAAGGAAATTTAAAAGAAGCATCTCTGGAAGAGAGGAGGCATTGTATACTTAAACATAGTTCTTTGCAGCTGCAGGCAACACAGGAAACTGCTATAAACTGTAGTGCATCATATTTAAATAGTTTGGAAAATCATATCTCCTCTGACTAATAGGATACAGCAACCCCTTCCTTTAACCCTCTGAGCTGTGAACCTAGCCATAGTTATCTATAATTTTGCCACTTCCAGGTTGAATGGCTGTAATAAGCTCAAGGGCTACCCTTGAAGGTCACTCAGGAACGTTAGCTAGCATAGACTGTGGTTCACTCTCCTTTTAAATGTGACAAGCTGACATGATCATTCAACACATGGGTTCTGGGCTTTGCACAAGCTCCCAATTCCCTTCTTGTGCAATCTAAGCTGTTGGTTGTCAAGTATAAACCTCTGAATGGTCTATGACCACTATGCCTCAAAGACCACCTCTACCACTCTGCCCCAACATATCAGTTATGAGTTACTGGAATGCTCTTTCTATCTATCCCTAAGGTAGAACTCCTGAAGACAGGTGGCAGAATTCTTGGTGGTGAACCCTGAGCTCTAGGAGTCACTCCTTGGGTCTGCACAAGTTTGCAAAGATATTAGGAGGCAGTGAAAGATGCAATTGTGCAATCTGTTTCTCTGTTTTCAGGGTCACTTTCTGGGAAAGGCTGTATTATCACCAATGGATAAGAGTTGATAACCCTGCAGATGGGTCTTTCTTGTGTTCAAGAGATGTTTATTGGTTTTCAATTCTTATAAATGTATCCACATTCTCTTACTGGCTTACATTAATTACACATTACTTTTGTATCTTTTAGTTATTAAAGAATCTCTCCTATCTCATTCTCTCCATTTGAAAAAAAAACCCATTTATTTTAACTCCTAAAACTAATTGCATCTTCCTTCTCACTTTGTCAGTATTACAAATGCTGTAGAAGCACCTAGTCAGAATCCCACTACATTTACAACTATAGGGAGTTCAAATCATGAGTACTATACAATATTTACATAAAGATACCAGTCATTATGATGGCTGCTTATATTTCCTCAGCAATTAGAGCTTCGTCTAATTTGCACACAGAACAAGCACCAAATATCCCCCTAGTAAGATAATTAATGTCTAAGGCCTTTATTGACTACCATAAATTGCAAAATTAAATGCATAGAGAACAGGTCCCCATGAAATTGGAAGAACATAATGACCTGCTTATATATAAGGCAGTATTTTGTACTTTCCAGGAATTCAAGTTATTCTGTGGATTCAGCAGCAAAGAAAAATGTAAAGGTAAGTAACTGAAGACTGTGCTTATTTCAGTGATGGAAATAATACCAGCAAGGCACTTGCACACATTCTGGCTCTTTTTATGAACATATAGCACTTTAGAAAACCCAAGCTCTTCAGAAAGGTGTATAATACAATAACAGTATGTTACTGCATGCTTAGCATCTCACAGATTCAACTATTATACAGCTAGTGTCCGTCATATACTTTTGAGTTTCACATCATGTATATACTGTGATGACTGATATTTGTGTTTTGATTACTTTGAATGAATTCAAGATTAAATCTGTGAATTTCAGAAAATGCCCCATGACTGTGAGTGGCTGATGCCTTCGGTGTTTTGTTTAAGTATGAATGTGAGCAACTGCAATGTTATAGTTGCCTGCTGCTCCCAGGACTTCCTTGTGATCATCTTGCAATGGTTACCATGGCATGGTTGAATAAAATAAATATACCTGTGCAGGGCTTGTTAAAAAAAAGTTTGTATGGGAACTTAATATGTAAAGAAGATTACTTCAAATGAAGCATTGTCAGGTTTAGCTGTAAAAGGATCTCAAATTGCCTAAACTGCGTTTGTTTGATATCTAAATGTATACCGGGGCAGCTGCAACTAGCTCTGAGCTAAGGCGCATTCCATTATGAATGGTAGTGAATTTATAATGGAATGGTATGGATGGTTTTTATAATCAGAAAAACACACTGACCTTAACACTACACAGGTGGAGCAGCATAATGACCCGGCAATTGTAAGCGCATCAATTCCTGGGGAAAAGTTCAATGAGATTAACTCAGCATGTATCCCAAAACCAACATTAGTGATATAAAATACAGAACATTGTGTTTTCTACCAAAATAGATCTTACATATGCCAACATTTATTTACTTAAATTTTTGATACTGAGTAATTCATATGTTAACTGTACATTCTTTTCTACCAAGGGATATTATTATGATACAGCAGACTTGGATGCTACAACAGTGAATTATGCTTTTAAAAATTATTTTAATTAAGTAAAATAAACTTTTCAGACTATCAAAGATTAAGCATCAGATTTCATTTAGCCCAAAAGGGAAATGAAACAAAACATCCAGCTAAGATATGACAAACACAGACTAGTACTGGCTCTTTAGGCATCGTCATAAGAAACTGGTCAGATTGAAAGAGTTTCGATAGACAACAGTCAACCAGATTTCCATTTAAACCACCAATGTATTTGTAGTGGTGGTACCAGGTGAGTTTCCATTGCAAAGGAAGATAATTTCAGTGCCCTGTACTTGCATTGACCTAGTATCAAACACAATTCAAAGGCAAAAAATCACAGCTGTGTTCTCTGCTTATACTTTGTCCAATATTGAGTAGAGATGAGGAACCTCTGCTCTTCCTATAAACTATAACCAGCTATTCACTTGAATCTTAGGAAAACTTCAGAGAGAAATAATCATGAAATACTAAAATATACAGCTTTAGTCATACCATGGGCCAAATCCAGTTGTCATTACTCAGGCAAAATTCCTAAGGATTGCAGAATATCTCCCAATAAAATAAATGTAACTTTCAAGAACCCACAGTACAAGAAAATTAGTAACATTTTAATTCAACCTATATTTAATACTTAGTAATGGCCATTACATTTAATTTTGCAACTTTAATCGATCCCCTCTGTTTCTCTTGCTTTTTTATAGCTTCTTCATTTTATTATCATAGAAACATTTAGACATCTAGAAACATCCTCACACAAAAAGATGATAATAATCTCCCATAACTCTTTAATCTGGGCATCTCTTGAGTCTGTCACCCTGCAAACTAAAATTCATACTTATCCCTACTTTTCCTCAGGGTGCTCAAGAATGACTCAGAAAGCTTGCACAGGTAGAAATTTCATAACAGCATGAACAAAAGAGCCTTGGCACACCAAATGTACCACCATAAAAATGTTAATTCAACAAATCACAAAAATGAACAAGACAAGGAAAACAGATGGAAAAAATAAGAATTCAGCAGGAAAACTACAGTCTTCAGACATTCTTAATTATAAAATAATTTCATTTGATTACATTCCACCTATATTAAAAAACACTGCCTGCAAAATATATAAAAGACATCAAATACAACAGATAAAATAAAATAAAAAGAACAGATATTGACTACCCTTCTCAAATGCCTTTCATTTTGAGGGATGTAACTCAGTTTAGTCCCAAAGTTACATACATTCCATACAAATTTTGTGTTCTCTCTCTTTTATTGAGGAAAATTATTTCTAAAGGAAATAGAGTTGGATGACCCCCAAACGTAGAGAGAGATGTATTTATCACCCCAAAGGAGTGAATCCCACAGTATTTTAACTTTCCTGCATGCATAATTTTTGTGGCCCTCATTTTGGGTCTTTGTCACACACTGCATCCCACATTTGGACTCTGGCATTCTGAGAGGTACGCTTCTACTATGCTTTTGTGGTTCATCCCTTTTCCCCACCTTGTCTTTCTTTCTAGTTTGGAAACTTTTCAGGGCAAGGACAGTGTTTTCTTATGTGCCTGTACAACATCTAACACATTTGGGGGGCACAACTCTACTATAAATTATTAAAGATAATATTAATACAGGGCTAGATTGTGACATTACGATCTTGTCCCTAGGAAGTGTGGTGTATTGGTGTGCTGGCCCTGCGGCAGCCTGGGAGGGAGATATCCACACTGCTCTGGGGAGGAAGAAAATTACATTAGGTCTATTCTTAGCACAGTGTACACTCCCTGAAATGCCAGCATAGCTTCATCGCCAGGAATATTGGAGGGGGCAGAATCATGACTCTGCTCCCTCTTTTCCCCCTCCCACCCACCTGTGTGAGGAGGGTTGTAGCCTCTCTGTGGACCCTGCTATCTCTCTCGCACAGAAAGCACTGGTGCAAGACAGTAAAGGGGAGGAGGGGGCTATTCCCTTTACTAACTTCTTATGGCATGTAGGATGAGCCACAACCTGGCCTATAAATGAGGTACACCTTGTATAGGACCAGTCCTGCAAAATGCTGCATGTGGATTAAGTTAATGGGCGCTGAGTGTACATAGCACTGTGTAGGATTGGGCCCCTGGTGTTGACTGGAGAGGCTGAGTGACAACAGTATTTTCTACATGCAGAAAACCACTGAATTTCTGTTATCTATGGTGAAGGTTAAAAAGCAAGCAAGCACTGTTCTCCTATATTAATCAGACTTTGACAGATCTTATACGAAATAGAAAGAATGCAAATTCACTATCCATGCTCCTCCTATGTGAGTTTTGCTGGCTATAGTCCTAGCAGGAAATAGACCTTAGATTGTTCAGTCTAACCTAAGTCAGAGCCAAGGTGCGGGTGAAGCTGGACAAAGGAATCCAGGATGCATAACCCTCTCCCTGACACCCCATCTCCCTACTGTGCTGTGCAGATCTTTGCTGCAGTAGATAATCTGACCTTGAGGTCTTAAAATTAATCAGCTTTCTTCCCCCACCCCTCAAAATGTCTCTGAGCCAAGTGCTTACATGTCTCTAATGCTGAAAGGGGAAGAAGCCTTTACCAGAGCAAACTGATATATGTTACTGTCAACACTACATGGTGCGTGCAAGCTACTGCAATCCTCTAGTCTCCATTTTCTGATATTAAAATGACTGACCAGTTTGACCACTTCTCTTTGGGAGAAGTGGAGGCAGGTCAAACTGGTCAGTCATTTTAATATCAGAAAATGGAGACTAGAGGATATCAATGAGAGTATATTTTCACAAAATGAAAATGGTCAGAGATCTAGAAATATAGGCGTAACCCCCCCATGGGATATACCTTGGCTTCCCTGGTGTCTCCGTGCCAATCACTTGGGCAGGGACATTGCGGATTTCCAAGGAAACCCCAAGGAGTGGAACACTGCCCCAGGAAGTAGCATGCTCAAGGGCAGGCTCGGCAGCTCAGTTGCCTCATAAAAAAAAGGATGAGAAGAAAGATGCTAGTTTGAGCAGAAGAAGCCTCTGCCAGCTCAGAGGAGTTAATGCAGCATGTTCCTGGATGGCCACCAGCACTCCTTCTCTAAGGAGGAAGCGGAGAGAGAGAAGGATTAAAGTGAGGAAGATTGGCAGGTTAAGCCTGGAGAAACTGAGCTACCCGAACCAACGAGGAAGGTTCTCGGGATAGGCTGCTGGGAGAGTTGATAAAGAGAGAAGAAGAGCCATGTTGGAAAAAGAGACAGGAGTCCTCTACTGAAGGGAGGACATGCTTTTTGGTGAGGTTGGTATTCCCAGGCCTGAATACAGGGTCATTCCTGAAAACTGACCTCTGAGGACTTGGCAGCAATATCCCTAAGTTTGTTCTGGTCCCTGTTCATAGTAACTCTCACTTTACAGGTTTCATTTGGGAAAGCTCTCAACTAATTTAGGAATAGATTAGTCCTTTAGCTCCCTAGCTAAAATAGTTACCGCAGGGCAAGAAATATTCCTGTTGTTAGATCAGGCATTCCTGCTTGTTTTGACCTACAGTGGGGTCTTATAGAATAAGAAGTAAGGATTTAGGATTTTAGAATTATGTTCATATTGTCTGTGCCTGTTCCCTGAATTCCCTCAAAGGCAGAAGCAGTATGATTTCGGTAGTGAAAAATTCTACATGACAAGCATAAGATAGCGTGGACCTCGACCAAGGCTATCAGACCCCTCTTACAGCTGCTGAGGGAACCAGGATCTAAACCTGAGGATCATCCACATCATGGGTTTGTGACTGCATCAACCCTTAGTTTGGTAGTCAGGAACATTGTTTGGAAGACACCTATGAACTGACTGTGGGATAATTTGCTGTTTACTACTACTGAATACACAGCTCTCACCAGCCAGCCAGGGCCCCAAGGTAGTATACATTCCAACAGGACATGACAGTCTTATTCCCCTCTGATGTAAGTCAGGGATTGGGCACCAGTGACTAAGAGTATTTGTCTGTATTGTTAATTAATATTTATCATTTGTTGAATACAATGACCTTATCTAATTTACTGTATGTCTCCATGTTATTCCCTGGAAGTCTATCAGCCCCGTGGCTGGGTCAGGGTTAAACAGTAGTTAGAATGTTTTCCTTTCAAGCAGCATCACTGGTACTTTTGCCAGGAAGGAGTGTGGGAGGTGGAGGCATCGCCAAGTACTTGTGTTTTGGAATAATACAAAGAAAACACTCAGCTGAGGCTGGAGGCAGGACTCAGAAGAACCCAGGCTTGTCTGTCAAACCCATAAGAAGAGTGGCACCAGAGGAGGTAACTGGGTAGAATAAGGACCTTACACAGGGAAAGATTTTTTATTTACAGTAATGCACCTTTAAACTGCTCTGGCAATATAGTAGGTATCATTGTAATTCAGAGTGATGTAACTGGGCCTTCTCATAAACTACAATCAGGCCTATGTTCTTTTGTTGCTGCCAAGAATCTGCTTCGTCCTGAACAATCAGAAGATTCACCGTACACTTATAAATACTGGTATGCCTCTGAGCATCAGAAAGATCTTTCTAAACATTAATAAAGAAGCCTAATTTCAAACCTCAGCTAGATAAGTATCACTTTCCCCATTTTACGAACTAAGAAACAGAGGTCAGTGGGCCTGCAGTTTCAAAAATGTCCATATATTCTGGGTGTTCAACTTACACTTGGGACCTGATTTTCAGAGATGTCATGCACCTGAAGTTATGAATGACTTCAGCTGACACAATGGTTATGCATCTGATGAAGTGAGCTGTAGCTCACGAAAGCTCATGCTCAAATAAATTGGTTAGT